TTTTTTGTGCTTACAGAATAAACAGAAAAACTAAATATTGACTGTTTTTCTGGTGTTTCGTTTTACAAAAAAAAAATAATAATCAAATGAACAGATGATACCAATATTCAGGGTATCTTCTATCCAATCCACATCTGTTTTCAAATTAAAAAAAGGAAAATAAAGAAAACAGACATTTTTTTTGTTTTTCGTTTACTTTATAGGTCATCTATATCTGAGCTCGTGATGTAGCCCTCAAAATAAGAGCCCTCTCTGAACCAGCACCCAGGCTTTTAATTATTATTATTTAACTATATATATATATATATATATATATATATATATATATATATATATATATATATATATATATATATATATATATATATATATATATATATATATATATATATATATATATATATATATATATATATATATAATGTTTTTTTTTGTAGTACAGTGACGTATAGATTGTTATGAAGACATATAGATGTTATTGCAGTGCAGCTGTACAGATAACAGCTTCACTCAGGGGTTGTTATTTTATGGTGAAGTAAACTGGGCACTGGATTCAATCTGTGCACACTGAGACTTATCAATTTATAAGCGCAGTTGCTGTCCGTGGTGCTGATCTTCACTATTCTGGCTGAGGCAGTGTGGTTGTTCAGACATGCAGTTTTCATTACAAAAACCCAATGCTTTCTATATTTTAAGAGCTATTCGATTTTAAAGGAGAAGCACTAACTGTATGAAGCATTGACAGTTTTAAAAACGCTCGTCTGTTTTAACAATCTTATAGCAATTTAATGTCTATGTTAATATCTACACTGTAAAAAATGCTGAGTTCCACGCAAATCAATTATGTTAACTTCATTATTTTTACTAAGAGTGATTAAACATAAAACAATTAAGCTGTCATAAAAAAAACTTAAGTATTGTGTAGTTTCAAATCCTTTTTAAGTAAGTAGTTCGAACAAGCAGCAAAAGTCATTATCTTAAGTGTGTGCTGTATATTTCCTAATTAAAAATCATATAATCAGCAAATCAACCTAACTAAGGAAAATTTGTTATCAGATTTTAGGTTAATTGGAGAATTAAGGATCGCCTGACAGTAAGAAGGTCGCTGGTTCGAGTCCTGGCTGGTCTGTTGGCATTTCTGTGTGGAGTTTGCATGTTCTCACCATGTTGACATGGGTTCATTCATTCATTTTCTTGTCGGCTTAGTCCCTTTATTAATCAGGTCACCACAGCGGAATAAACCGCCAACTTATCCAGCAAGTTTTTACGCAGCGGAGGTCCTTCCAGCCGCAACCCATCTCTGGGAAACATATGCACACACATATTCACACACACGCTCATACACTATGGACAACTTAGACTACCCAATTCACCTGTACCGCATGTCTTTGGACTGTGGGAGAAACCGGAGCACTCAGAGGAAACCCACGTGAAGGCAGGGAGAAAATGCAAACTCCACACAGAAACGCCAACTGAGCCGAGGTTCAAACCAGCGACCCAGCGACCTTCTTGCTGTGAGGCGACAGCACTACCTACTGCGCCACTGCCTCGCCTGACATGGGTTTCCTCTAGGTTTTCCAAAGACATGTGGTACAGGTGAATTTAATAAGCTAAATTGGCCTCAGTGTATGTGTGTGAATGATAGTGTGTGGGTGTTTATCGGTATTGGGTTGCAGCTGGAAGGGCATCCCCTGTATAAAACATGTGCTGGATAAGTTAGCGGTTCATTTCGGTGTGGTGACCCCGGATTAATAAAGGGACTATGCTGAAAAGAAAATGAATATGTGAGAGTTAAGTTGAAAGGGTCTATCTGTAGAAATAGCCAACAATACATAGTACAAGTTAAAATAATTGATTTTCTAATTTTAATTCCTGCCAAAAAATTACAATATTACATATAGATAATGATCATGTAAGTTTCATGAAGAGATTTTATAAATTTCCTTTTTCTATTTTATTTTTCTGAGTTTACAATATTTTACGTTGATTATGATGATTTTGTAGAGTGCATCTGCATTAAATATAATAAACAAATCAAAAGTATTGATAAAAGCAGCAGAGCAAAAGAAAAACATAAATTTTTTTCTGGGAGTTTAGCAGTATTTAGGTACACATTGAGTAATCAAATGTAAAATAACAGTGCAGTTCTTATTGTGTGTATATTTACTCAAGTTCAATCAACTTTTCTTAAAGTTAAAAACATTATAATTTCTTGTACATGAATGCTTTTCATCCCTACACAATCACAGGCCTTAAAAACACGACTAACTGTGATTCCTGGTCAACTATAATCCCGCCTCAACATTGCAGATCCTGCAATGTGACTACTGCAGATGTGCGCACTGCGATATCAATGTTAAAGCGGTATATTGTGCAGCCCAACATTTTCTACCATAAATGTATCAAAACCTAAACGCTGATTAGTTTTATGCACTGCAAAGAACTTAATTTGCACAGCTTCATTTCTTAACATTTTGGGCTTTCTGTATTTCAAATAGTGAAAGGGTCAAATAGTGAATGATGACTTTTTATGAAGCAACAATAGAGTCTATTTTAAGATACGGGATCATTGTTTGGTTTGGGAATCTGACAGTAAAAATGAAAACCCAAGTAAATTACCTGATGAGAGTGGCAGGAAAAATCATGGGAATTAAGACACTTGGTTGACTAAAAGACATCTTTGAGTTGTGCACAATCCAACAAGATTTTATCTGATTCTTCACATTTGCTGTCTTTGGAATATGAGCTGATGAATTCTGGCAGAAGATATAGGGTCCTGTTGTGCAAGTATAATAGATATAAACATTATTTTGTTCCTTTTTCAATTAAGTTGATCAACGAGCAAGCAGGGAAGGACCGTCAAAGAATAAGATAACGGGATTGGTTGGCACAACAGAGGGCAGTGGGGCACATGGTATTTTATTTTTATAAAAAAAAAATTAAATTACTGATTTTATGGAATCATATTTATATTAGGAGGTATTTTAGGATTAGATTTGAATGTTTATGTATGTTACATGTTGTCTTGTTGGTGTCTATGTACAGCAGAACCTTTTTTTCTAAAACAAATTTCTCCTACGGCAGACAATAAATTTTACCTTACCTTAAATTTTACCTTACCTTACCTTAGTGAGATCTCAGTCAAATATTGTCCTATAAAATATTGTGCGAAATATTATCCAGACAAACTATAGGCCTACAAATGGAAAGCTTACTTGCCTATAAAAAGGTTTTTAAAAAGTATCTTATGTCTGGTTTTGTAGTCAATGGTCACATATACACTCACTAGCCACTTTATTAGGTACTGGAAATATTCCCCGGAGATTTTGCTCCATATTGACATGATAGCATCACACAGTTGCTGCAGGGTCCAAACTTTTAAAGTGCATCCAGTGTCTTCCAAACTCTTTAATACCTCATATCTTGTGTTGACTTTATTATTCATAACGTTATGTTTATTAGTTGATTATACTATAAATTCAAAGTCGCCTTGAAATCAAACTGAAACAATAATAATACTATCTGAATATTTACCTCCGGGTTTGGAGTGGCGGACCTTAAGTTGACGGGTTTCTATAGCAACTGCATAGTAATATGCTCTTTTTTTTTTTTTTTTTTTTTTTATTTGCAAAAAAAACAGTTGACAAGTTTGTAACAATATTTGTTTACAATGCAGAATATGAATTACATTGTCAATGAAAAGAGATATGAGAGAGAAAGACAGAAAAATAAAATAAAAATAAAGAACATGATATAAACTTGAGGGTAAGACATTTAAGAATCAAGAACAGTACATAAATTAAAGTCATTACAAAATGAAATAGTTCTGTTTGCTTTCTTATTTTTAGATAATGAAATTAATTGTATATAATGACTAAATTCTTGCAAAAACACAGGAAAATATGGTTTAGTATTAGTAAATTTGCATTTGTGATAGTAATATGCTCTCTTGAGGTTAGTTTGCTATGAAGAAGCGACGCACAAAATAAAGCACCGCCTCCTACTCAATATTCAATTTCAGTTGGAGGTACACCAACAAACTAAAATAAAAGCCCGATTCACGCAGACTTTAATGGCATGCTTTTTATTAAGGATGTGTTTATGTAACATTTCTAAAATCCTCAGTTATAAAACAGCTTTTACATTATATATTTGTTGAGTATTAATATTTAAATATAATTGAGATATTTTCTGTTATATTACTATAGACTATGTTCTAAAAGAAATACAGAATATTAGCAAAGCATACCTGTTTTTCAAATAAATCAAATAATTTCTGCGGTGACGTGGACTTCATTCATTCCTATTATTCATTCAATGTTCCCGCGCTTTGAGAGAAAAAAAAAAAACATTGATCACGTGACAGAGCAGTGAAGGAGAGGAAGTCCGTGCCGCGCGGGGTTGTGGGAACACTTTGGTGACGTCCACTACTCAAGTAGAGGAATAATATTGCAGGTCTCCGCTGGATTTCTTATTCACGGGTGAGGCTCCTTCAGTTTATGTGTTTTGCGATAGTTTGTGGCGTGGTTATGCACTTTAAAGTCGCGTCATAGTGCGTGCGCGAAACACAACATGTCGTCTTATCATTTCCGCTGTATCAGCTGACAGTTGCAAGTTAAACTGTATCAAAGTGGTTATTGTTTAATCCGCCATTAAAAGTTATAGTGTTTCTACTTGTATAGTTTTAGGAAGCACCAAATGTGGTCGAGTTTATCTTTAATAACGCCTACAAAGCGCTCTGTACAAACAGAAAGCGAGTTATAGTCATTCATAGCTGTTGTTTTCTTATTTTAACTTTATTAATTAGCATTGTTTAGGTGTATTGGTCGATTGTGTTTATAAAAGACGTCGCAGTCATATATAAATATAAAACGTTTGGTTAGTTTTTCGAGCTAAACGCTTCTTAAGTTGAAAGAGTGTGGCTGAATGAAGTTATAAATAAAGTGACTTTCACTGGTCCTCATGTACTCATGCACTGATTGAGGTAACGTAAAGTTGGTTTTATATATAACTTTAATACAGATTAATTATCACGACGCACTTTTGTGAGCACAACACGTTGTTTTTGTAACTGAAACTCTTTTAAAAAGTAGTTAAGCACTATGATATCTATAAAGCTCCATAGAGGTTTTTTTTTTTTTTTAATATTCACACATTCGTTCAGTGACAACTTGTGACACGCTCCCTATATTGTTTACCATAGTACTTAATATTCGGTCTGAAATAACCTGCAAGTATGACTTCTAAACAACATTAACACCTTTGATCTGACTGTGAACAGTGTTGTACTTTGATAATCGTTGGCTGCTAATATGATTTCGCTATTTAGAGGTTGCAAATATTACTTTTATGAAATTATATTATTAAAGAAAAAGTCTGAATGTGTGAATATAAAACCAACTTTACCTCTATTGAAGTTCCCTATATTTGTCCCAATATTGTTTACTAGGGGAGAGCGGGGCACATAGTAACACTTTTTTTTTTTTACAGTAATACACTAGCCTCTCATACAAATGAACACTAAGTATGACCTCCGGATCTATGGTTTCTGTACAATATTGCTAAAAGTGCCAGCAGTAAAAATTTTAATATTTACCCAACCTGTGGGGCAAGTTGTCACAGAGTTAGTTGTAACACATGCTTAAAAAGACTGATTTCAAACAATTAATTTAAATTCAGTTTACTTTAAATAGTGTTTAAAATAGTTATAATATATATATATATATATATATATTTATATAAACTTTGAGAACTGCTTCACTTGAAAC